ACTAAAATAGCATAACAGTAGCTAAAAGCTACATTTAGAATACCATAAAAGAAAACAATCACAACAAGAGATCAAATCAGCTAAGCACATATAAAATATGCTAAGGATAAGCTAAACTAGGTAAAATGCTAAAAACTAAAATGAGCAGTATAAAAGAGCTACAATTAGCAATACAGTAGCTAAAAGTTACATTTAGAAAACCTTAAAAATACAAGCACAAAAGATCAAATCAAACCTAAAACTTGCTAAGGTAAAGCTAAAATAGGACAAAGCTAAAAACTAAAATGACAAAAACAATATATAAGAACTACTACCAGTAAGAGCTAAAAGTTAAGTTTACAAAAATGCTAACATCAGCTAAATTGTTGTTAGCTTTCTGTGCATTTCTGTGAAAGTAAAACTGCAAACAAAGTAAAATAAATCAAATAATACAAAAGTTACAGAAACCAAAAGTCACAGCTGAAATGTGCTGAAAAAGCTGAACTTTCTGACATTCGAGTGGCTGAAACAGTTGAAAGTTAAAGTCTAAAAACAGGTTGTGTGAATGCTGACTCAGCAGAAACAATCCCAGAAAACAAGCAGCTAAAACTTCCACTCACAGTGGGTTCAGTGTGAGCGAGTGACGAAACTCAAGACTCCTCAGCAAAACCTTCATTCAGTCCAAACAGAACGTTGAACTTTACTTGACTGAACGGCTGGTTTCACATCTTTAATGATTTTTTTTATAAATACAGATTCAGCTGAATGACTTTTAGATCTTAGTGATGATGTCATCCTAACTTCTGAGAAATAACTTTCTAAAATCTAAAACTGATTCTTCCTACTCCCACAAACTTTAGATATCAGATGGCAGAGTGCACACCCAAGCTCCTGTTGACCTCCACTAAACTCAGCGTGTGATGAATTAATTYATGCTCTTTAAAGATTTACTAAATTATTATTTAAATACACAGTGAGATAAAATTAGCTCAAATAGTTGATGAAAAAGGATATGAAAGAAACTGTATTTTTTTTCAGTGAATATAGTAAAATAAAAATAGGAAACAGGTTGTTTCGGCTTAAAATTAATGTTGGATAAAAATCAGGAGAARAAATGAAATCTGTTTTTATTCTTTTGTTATTTATTAGTAAAAGCTTGTCAGATATTATAAAAAAATGGGGTTTATTTCATTTTAATCAGCATCAGTTTGATGGATG